CCTCCGTAGAGTGTTGCCTTGCTCGGTTTGAAATCCTTGAGTTTGTTAATCAAAAATTCGTTAAAGTTTTACAAAATATGAAATCGATAATAAAACAAATTCCAAATTTCAAATTGGTCTTCTACATGCCCATATTCGTAGAAGGATTACGGCATTCAAAATTCGATGGCTCTAGGTACCGTTGTTTCATCACAATGCGAGAAATATACCTACATTTATGCAGATTTTTCATTATTTAATTTCTTCAAATATATAATGCAGTACTCTAACATTGGGTGGCAACAGTTTGAAAAGAAACGGACATTTATAGTGATTCAAAAGTGCAAAACGAAAACAATAGTCCTTCAGGGACAAAGCTCCTTCAGACTAAAACGTTTGACTCCCATACAATAAAAATTGATCGAAATATTTAATTTCAAAACTTGCAATATTTAACGTTATTTGTAATATGCAATGAGTGGTTGCCTAATAAATAAATTAAGGTAATTCAAGGTTATTGTTTTTTCCTTTAAAACAACTCTAAGGCATCGTTCAAAACAAACTCTAACGTTGCAAACTCTAAGAGGAAAAATTGGCTTGCTTGTAACAACTTTTAGATTTCAAAAAGAAAATAAATACAGATCTGAAGTTAACCCCTTTGCGTTATCATTATTATTGCTTATGTGAAATATACTTAGTTAACGAAATTTAAAATATTGTTTGTTTTGTTAAAGAAAAATTTTTAATTTTGCTAGAAAAGATTTTGGTGAGTCAGCTGCTTTTGGATCGTGCATGCGGCCGACTGGCTGTTTAAGACCATTGCGTACTACAATATAGACTATATTTATATTTAAAATGTAAAAGTTTGGTTTGTGAATATAACTGAATAATAAAAATTTTAAATGTTTATTCATTGATTATGAGCCCTCCGTTTAGAATGCATCGATTCTTATTTGGAAAATGATTTTATAATTCTAAACTGCGTAAAAAAACAACAAAAAAGGGGGGGAGGGGGAGACAGTTCTATATCTCCCATTCTACTGGGCCGATTGACGAAATTCAACTTGCGTTTTTCATAGCTCGAAAGGTTAGGTTAGTTTATTTAATTACGGAAAAGCCTCGAGAGCTATCTACCTAAGGGGAGGGATGCATTCGTAGAGGACTTTCTAAGCGAAACTGGCTCGTATACACGTTACACATGCGGAAAATCACGAAAACACCCATGCAGCCAGACCGCGCGGGATTCGAACCTCAGACCGAACTACCAGTGTTCAGCGACTTTACCGCTCGGCCGCTGGTTGGCCTACTTCATATCTCGAAAACGCGACTTAGGATATGTATTAGATTTATATATAGCATTGTTTTAATATAGGTTTGACACAAAATTGGATTTTTTTTCTGAAATAGCATATGATTTATTTTCCATATTTCGATTCCATGACTCAAATTATGCCAAACTGCTACGTTTTGTAAAACTCGCACGAGTAGTTTTTAAAAAATTAGCTCTCAAAATTTTAGCATCTCCACGTTAATTGAATCTTGTATATATTTATTATCTCTTTTTTATTAAATTTATTTGATTCTCATTTTTACGTATCGAAATTTAGGTTCATTCTAAATAAAACTCACCCACATTTTTAAAATTTATATTTTTAAATAATTTTTTGAAAACCATTTCGAATTATAACCTATAAAATTTTTACCATTATCTTAAAGCAGATGTATTTCTAAGCATACCTGCAAAAACTTAGAGTATTCTTATTCAAAATTTCTTAGGATATATGTGAATTTGCACACTGGCGCGTTTTCTGGTATATTTGCTATAAACGATAATAACGACAAATATGTGATTTATGCACTTTGTTAAAATTATTTGAAATTATGAACGATGACATTTTTTCCACTCGTCTGCAATGATTAAAATTAATTAAAGAAAAATAGGTTGCTATAAATTAAGAAGTTCGCCAAGTGAATTACTCTTGGCGTAAATTGAAAAAAAAATGGGAACAAGATAAATGTTTTAATTTCTCCATAAATTTCGCAACAAATTTTATAAAATTTAATATTATGCCATAATTTGAGACGTAGAATTGAAATATGGAAACAAATTGGCATGTCATATCAGAAAATGTCGATATTATGTCAAAATACCTATGTTAGAATAATGCTGTATATAAATCTAATATATATCCTAAGTCGCTCTTTCGAGACATGGAAAACGGAATTTGAATTTCGTCAATCGGGCTCAGTAGAAGAGGAGGTATAGAGCTTTCCCCCCCTTTTTTTCTTTTTTTTTTTTGTGCAGTGTACATACACTTCTGTTTTTATTTATGTAGTACAAAATTTTTTGAGCCCATACCTTTCTTGTATAAGTTTCTTTATATATATATTTAGGTCTACCAGAAAATTCTGTCTGCAATATAGACTAATATTAGTTAAGTTAAACTAATATAAGTTAGTTAGACAAGTTAATGTTATTTCAAATTTCAACACGCTTGCACGTGTTCATTAAAAACACACAAATACACACACACACACACACACCATATATATATATATATATATATATATGGCTGCCTCTCTTTATCATTGCAAAAAGAAATGCTAAAGAAAGCGAGCGCTTTCTTACGTTAAGCTCCAACTTACGTTTTACTTACGGCCGAAAATTTAAGCAACAAGGCAGGATTATCGTTGCGTTTTTTTATTCTTCTGACAGCAGTTCTTACGTTATTTTCTTTCTTCACGTTCGTACGGGGTTCGTGTGGATTTGGAGTGAATAACGACGACACTACTTGATGAAATATCGAAACACACTTTATTAGCCGGTATTAATCAGGACAGCTCCAAAATCTCGTTCACAGTCGCCGAACTGTTATAAACACGCTGACACGTTCAGCGCCACAGCCTTCACGCTGTCGGGCAATAACGGTGGAGACAGCTTCACTGCAAAGCACCCGAGCACAGCTTCCGACTCTGCTCGGTCGTTCTCGGAACTCCACCGTACTCTCGAGACTCTCCACGCTACAACTAGCGATGCACTCGACGATACAAAAGAGTATAGCTGTCGACACAGCACAGTCTAAGGCAAAACTCGACGATGCATCAATTCGCGATACACTAAAAGACTCTCTCGATGCATTCGACGACCCACTCGGCGCTAGACTTCGAGACACTCGCTCAGTGACTGACTATCAGCTCGCTAGACGAGGCAGACACCCCTCTCGACGAGGCACACTCTCCCTGACTGTGCACCAGCAGGGTTTATATAGCTTTCGGCTTGTGTTCGAGAACATTCTGGGCTAAACCGGTAAAATTCGTTCCAGAAGGTTCTCCATTTGTCCATATCATATCGCGAATTTTGTCGCCAAATGGGCGACTTCTCGCCAAATGTGGCAACCCTACTTCCCTTACCATTTTATGGCAACCCTAAACATGCTTTGCGAGGAAGCTATCTCACCGTGACTGTACATTTCGTAACAGCAGGATAAAGTAATCCTGTTTTAACTCGAATCAAAAGATAGAGTTTTGACTTATTCTAAGGTTAATGTTTTAACCGGTGTGTAACATGAATACGATCCTATTCTCCTTAGACATTCCTTCCCTTGGGCAGACAACCATCGTAATCTTTGCCGTTATTCAAATAGCCAACCAAATCAACCTAATTTAGTTAGTTTACTGGATTTACTGGACAAAAAAGAAAAGTTGTTTTCCCAAGTTACCGTAAAGTCGCGCTTTATTTCCTACCCTATGTTAAAAAAATTTCATTATGATCTACGTATACGTAAACTTATTACGTAAAGTTACGTTTTACGCACGTGTAGGTAAAATGCATACGTGTTGTTCTAAATTAACGAAAACAAAAGTGTCTCAATCATTATTGAGATACGATCGTATGAATATGGCTACTGAGAAGTTAATTTATGCCACTGTATTTTGTACAAATTCCAACAAGAAAGAAATGCCACAGGGGCGTGTTGAAATTTAAAGAAAGTTTTTGCTGGAAACGCAGTTTCACTTCTGAACCATTCAGGAAATGGTTAAAAAAAATTTGAGGTAGGTGATTTCGACCTTAATGATAAGGCAAGCGATAAGTTTTAATCGATGACGATATTATTAAGACAATGATTGATTGAGAAAGATCATTTTTAACAACTTCGGAGATTGCAAAAAAAGCTCAATTCAACTCAACAAACCATTACGAACCAGATTCATAAACTAGTATTGGATTCTAAACATTCCAAATGGGTTGCTCATGAGTTGAGTGAAAACATTTTGCACGGTTGAGTCATCATATGCATAGCTCTGATTGATTGGAACATAAACGAACCTTTCTTGGACCGGATGATAACTGATGATGAGAAGCTGATTACCTACGAAAATATCATTGCTAAAAGTGCATACTGTCAGCCCAAACAAACTGTCATCTTCACCTCTAAACTGCGCTGGAGCTTGAGGATGCTGATGGGACAGCCAGGAAGAGCTTTTCAAACCTCACGAAAAGCTCAATCCGGAAAGATACTCAAAGTAAATGGATTATGGAGGTCAAAGAAACAAGGCCAGGGATGTTCATTAGAAAGCGCCTCATACTGCATTCATGATAATGCCCGATCACATGCTGCTTTGGCAAGTTGTCAAAAAATCGTAGAGCTAGTCATAGAAATTCTGCCGCATCTACCATACTCCTCATAACTACAACCCTCCGATCATCACTTGTTTCTTTCCTTGCAAAATTTTGTGAAGGCAAAAAATTCAAAACTTTAGCAGATGTCACCCAAGCATTACTTGAGTTCTTCGCCTCTAAGAAACGAAACATACAAATTACCATTCCCGCTCGCTACGTAACGATAGAAATTACACTGTACAATAAATATTATTAAAGATATGGAAAATGTGTTATTTTTCTTCGCATCCAAAACGGAGAGAATTTTCTTGGTAGACCATATATATTTATAAGTCATTTCCGTGTTTCATGGGGAATATATTTTTTTTCAGGTTTTTTTTATGCTATCTGAAAGTCGAAGATGATTTCTGATTATGTTGAAGGTGTTCTGGTTGCATCTCCTTATTCACTTACAATCACTGCGATAGCTGTTCTTTTAGGGTTCATATTTTACATCACAAGAGACAGAAATGTACCACCAGGTCCCACCGGAGTTCCTATATTGGGTATTTATCCATTTCTGAAGGACGAAGATTTGCATCTGCAGCTGGATAAATACGTAAGGAAGTATGGAGACATCTCCAGCTTCAGAGCGGCTGGTAAACTATTTATCAACCTGGGAAGTGTGAAAGCTATACGGGAAGTCTATGTTAATAATTCGGAGTACTTTACCGGAAGATCCAGGGATTACAATGCACTAAGTCCTTTGTTTGGTGATGGTAATTATGTTCCAGATTTTTCATGATCTTGCTTTTCATTTTTTGCAACAACTAGAATAACATTTTGACTGTATACGTAAGTACGTATGAAATATATACAAGGTGTGTTCGAAAAGTTCGGTGAATTTTACCATAAAAAAAAGGACACAAGAGAAACAAGCAAAATAGCTTTACTGGGGTTCAAAGTATTCGCCATTAGCAACAATACACTTTTGACATCGGGTGTACAATTGCTGGAAACTGTCTGCAAACGCTTCTTTCGGTATGGCTCGAAACACCGTTGTCACACGTTGTTGGATCTCAGTAAGTAATGTCGGAAAAGTGTTGGGGCCAGAACTCCTTTGAGGTGGGGAAACAGGAAGAAGTCTGCGGGAGCCAGATCTGGAGAATATGGAGGGTGATCCAAAACTGGAACGTGGTGCCTTTGGTTGGAATTGGGTTACGCGGATCGCAGTGTGCGGCCGGGCGTTGTCATGGAGCAGATTCCACTGTCCATTCCTGACTGTAAACTTTCACTAACATGTCATGTGTCTCCGTCGCGGTTTTGCCTAACTTGAAGCAAAACTTTGTTTATGCGTTGCTCCATGTCACACTGACAATCTTTCTCACACTGACTGTGTTAAACTGCTCATAGCGTGCGCTTCCTCTTATATGTTGCAAAATGGCCGTTAGATGGCGCTAGATGACATTTCTCTCACTGCGTCTGCGTGAGTGCAAGATCCTAACCGGCGCGGTTTTTTAATTATGAGACCAATCACCGAACGTTTCGAACACACCTTGTAATATAGGTGCACACATATACTTCTAAGGTTTGCAGTTCGTTACATTAAAACATCTTACTTCGTAAAAGCTAAACGAAACACCATTGCGTAATTAATACAATTCCTGTCACGAAGATGGAATATATACCTAGTCATCTCTCATTTATTTGACATTAAAGGCATCAAGAGGGAAAGGATATAAATAAGACATAGGAATAGCCGAGATCATTTTACAATTCCAAAATTATTACATGCTTAACGACAATTGCGTTTTATCAACGTTTAATAAAATGAGTATGTATATTTAGGATAATAAAAATGAGTAGAAATGAGTATACAGAGTGTATTAGCACAGCGTTGACAAACTTCTAGGAGAGATAGAGTTCACATAGACGATGGGAAATCACATAGGAATGTGTGGTTGGAAACGCTTTCCTGTAGCGGTAGTTGACGACACAAAAAGCAAAAAAGGAAGGACGCAAGCAGTGAAATGAAAGACAAAACATGTTTTATTATGTTTAGTGCTGCAGAAATATACAAATAAGAACAAAAACAAATAACGATCGTCATTAAAGAAGATGTTCGAAATTACGACCTCGGACCGTGATGCAGGCCTCACTTCTCTATCGCATGGAAGATCTGCATCAGAAATGGAAGATCGCATGGAAAATGCATGACGCACGGTTGCCGCATCACGGTCCGGGTTGTAATTCCGAACACATTCTTTGATGATGATCGTTGCCTCTTTATGTTCCGTTGCTTTTGTTGTACTCCGAATAATAAACATATTTCCTCACTCCATTCGTGTCTTTTATTTCTTGAAATTTGTGTCGTCACTAAAGCGCCAGGAAAGGGTTTCCTACCATGCATTCCTATGTGATTTACCATCGTCTAAGTGTCTATCGTGAAAATTTGTCAACACTGTACTGATACACCCTGTATATTATACTTAAATTAATTTAATATGCATAAATCTTTTGTACAAGCAGTTATATTTTCTAAAAATGTTGCCAATATTAATTATTGATCTTGTTTATAACGTGTGAAAAACGAACCCTTTTCTGGTTCATCAGTGTATGTCATAATACTCGGACATAGTCACGATAGTCATGCATATAGATATACATCAGTATTTTGAAGACAATGCGTCAAAGTTCCAAGTGCACTTATAAAATATTGAAACAGTTTCGAATAGCAGTTCTATCTTCGTCATCAAAAGCATTGTTATCATCATTTTCTTCAGCAGCCATTTCTTCTATTGATAAAATCTTCGGTATTCCTTGACTCAGCCATTAGTAGATTTCATCTGTACGTAAACGAATTCTAAAAAAATCAAATGAATATTAATTCAAATAACTTCGGTTTTCTTCATCAGTGTTGAAATTTGCTGTCTTCTGGTTAAATAACATGTCCATCATTTCGTAAGATTTTCTGCTTTCTTGGAAAGTTAATATTGTATAGATTATTATTTACAGGACGAAGACAGCTTTTCTAAACTTCGAGTCGGTATTTGAATTCCAAATTCTGAATCTTTCTTGAATCGGTTCAAAATAATTGGAGGGTTTTTCCCGACGATAAAGAATAAAATGTGAAAGATAATTAAGATATTAAAGAATGAAATGTGATTTTTTCCCTTTTGTGTCTGAGACAGCAAAAATCCTTCCGCAGTAGGTCTTTTCTATAATGTGTCCATCTGTTAGAAACATTACACACTAAACAAACAAAAAAATTCAGGCAAATCAGTGTATTAGACTAGAAAAAATGTTGCCCGTGCCATTTCCAGTTCGGGCAAAACTGGAAAGTGGCTAATCTTGATTCCGCAGGTTTACCTGTATTCTCGCTACCGAAACCATCCTTTTCGAGCGAGAGCAATTTTCGGAAATACTAGACATTCAGTGCATGTTGTGAAAGTTCTTTCTGCTGTTCTTAAAGAATGTTTTCCTCAAAGTTTTCAATATTTATACAGCCGCTGTCAATCTTTCATTGCAGATGACCGATTTTACTTCCAAAAAATGTAAAATGTTCTTCCTGATTTAGATAAAGATATTTTATAGAATTTCCTGACTTAGGTTGAATTACTTATTTATGTAATCCTAGAATTTTATTCAGATGCCTTAAATTTTCGGATTTTAATATTTGTAGTTTTTATTTTTTTTATAAGCAGTTCACAAAACAGCTTAAGTTGTTTATTACTTACTTGAATAATTAGCCATAATTTATATTATATTCCCTTCTAATTAATTAAGTTCAGCAGTACTTCATTATTAATATTATTTCTTTTCATTTCTGATGACATCTTTTAATATATGATTATGGATATGTTTCATGTCATGCAATTTCCTTACAGGTATCTTTCTTACCAATGATGAAGCATGGAAGACTCTTCGAAAATTCTTCATTAATAACTTCAAAGTTAATGGCTTGATATCCATGAAAGATAACGTGACAGAAGTGTATGATACCATCGATTCCACTATCAAAGACTTGCGTAGCCTAAATGGTGAACCTGTCGATATTGTTGAGATTGTGAATAATAAATTCATGAATACAGCGCGTTGCACATTCTTCGGAGAAGATGGTATCTCCATGGAGCACTTTCGTAAATTAATTGATCATTTCATAATTGCACTTGAAATCTTGGCTGGAACTTATACTCTTCTTTATGGAACTATAGCAAAGTAAATTTTGGTTTTAAATTCACTCTTAACTTAAATAACTGAATATATTTCAATGAATGTGAAACATTTCAAATTAAAACTTAGTAGCCAAGTAGTACACAAAAGGTGGTGTTGGTGTATTTAATTATGGCAAAGCACACGAGGGCTATCTGCCTAAAGGGAGGGATGCCTTCGTGGAGGACTTCCTAAGGGAACTGGCTCGTATACACGTTACACATGGGGAAAACTATGAAAACGTCCATGCAGCCAGCCCGTTCGCGGAATTCGAACCTCGGACCGAACTACCAGTGTTCAGCGACTTTACCGCTCGGCCGCTGGTGGGTCAGTACACAAAAGGATTTAACGCGAAGTTGGCTCAAGCTTCTTACTGTTGTAACAGTTTAAATGCCAGCAACTCTAATGCAAAGCCGAATAATACAATCTTATCTGAGGTAGTTAGCATAGCAACGTAACCTCAAGAAGCAGAAACACGCCGTGTCTTACAGCCTGAAAATCGCACGTTAGAACTCTCGAACTAACTTACATTCTTTTAGGGAAACGGAAGACAGAAATGATAGTACAACCCCTAAATCATAAACTAATTAATTATTTAAAACAATAAGAACTTTATAACTACAGGAAAAATTTCATTACTACCATTTTTAACGAATTTTAGTTGATTATTTAATCTTCTTGTAAGGATTATGTTAATTTTATTAACAGTTAAATTTTAAGTTAAAGTTCCTTTCCTGTCAAATTCTTAACTTCAAACTTTACTACTTTCCGGTCAGAAACGTTGTTTTTTAGAAACGTTGTTTAGAATGAACTTGTTGAATTTAATGAGGAGGAGCGCGGTATTTAATTTTAAACCACGAAGTTACTTACTGAGTCAGAGAGAATCAGAGTTTTCTGATTTAAGCGCGTCTGCCTTTTTGGCCACTCTCTCTCTCTCAAAGCTGTAAGCTGTTATTATGCTCGGCCGTACTCAGGCCCCTGCTAAGCTTCGTAGTAAGCAAATAAGTTAAGGGGCCAGCTCGATTTGAACCTTGATAGCTTCGGCTCTACTTCTTTAGTTAATCTTAGTTAATTTAGTTTATTTTAATCTTAGTCTTTTAAGTTCACGTCCAAGTGCGGGCTTTGCTTGTACACTCCCAGGAGGAGTTTTGTTAAATCTTATTGGAATAATAAAGGGTTAGTTACCCTTCTATCTTGTTGTTTCTTGTCACCGAACGCAAACGATTATTCGCTTATCAGTTCTTAGGTTCTTCCCTTCCAACATTAACTTAGATTTCCAAAGTGAGAACTCTACATTCTAATCTTAGGTTTTAAAAACACCATGAATTTTTTTTTTTTTTTTTTTTTTTTTTTTTTTTTTTGTAAAAAGGTATTCGAAAAAATTTTTTGTACTAACATTAAAATTTACTTCATCCTGATTTCTCTACAAAATATTTGAAAGGGACTTCAATGACATTTCCGCACGATTGTCCACTCTTATGTATTTTAACAAAGCTCTCCTCCGCGTATGTGATAGAATTGAAACCGGCTACTTCTGAAGTATACGAGGATTACTTTTATATAATTTCTTCTTTACTGCCCCAGCAGGAAAATTGCCAGTTACTCTTACAATGGATTATCGCATCTTCCCGTGAATGCTCTCATGATATAAAATAAACTTTTTAAAAATTTTACATAGGTTAGCTCGTCCAGCAAATAGTTGAAAGATCCTTAGTTTGAAAGCTGAGAGATTATTTTCATTTTTTGTCTTCTTCTAGGAACGTAGAATTTGGATAGTTTGTCGCTACTGGATTTGCACCTCCACTGGCATTTCAAATGGGGGGGGATTATAAACAATTACCACAATCCCCTATGCGTTTCTTGTGGTGTGAGTGATTAGAACATGTCACCAGCAACTGGTAGATCCATGGTTTGAATCCCAGACAGTGCATAGGAGATTTCTCATGTTTCTAATTTTGAATAAACGTAATATTTTCTCTACTATCGCATTGCTGTGAAGTTCGTGACAGGGAATATGCCTTTATCTCTTGCTTAAAGTTCCTAGTAGGTCCTAGTCTTCGAGAGATTAAGTGTAATTACAGTGAACCTTCTCTAAAGCGAACATCCATGATTTCAGATAATTTAGGTCTTTTGTGGAAGTGGTCGTTTTAGAGACGTGAACATTCAGTACCGATGTTTATTTATATTAAAATAATAGTTTAAATAATAGTTACTTTTTAAATTGGTTTCTACGATTAGTTCTAATATACTTCATATTAGTATTAATAAAGTTGCTACATCACAGTACATGGTCATACTTAGAAGATATTATATTTACCAACGCTGCATCAGATATCCAAATTTTAAATTTACTTTTCTTCAATAATTTTCGGTTAAAGCTTATTTTTTTAATTTAGAAGTCAAACAACAAAAATCAGCGTTATATTTTCAAATTTTCAAAGGACTAGTTTTACCGAAGCAGCATTCTCAGCTGCCAAACTTCAAATCAACGAGATAAGATAAGAATGGTTGGACCGAAGTTAAGCTACTGGCGCCATCTATTGATAAAACAAAAAAATAAAAAAATAATTTCCTTAAAGGCTGAAGTTAAAGATGGATTGGAATTACGGTCGTTAACTACAACAGAAAGTTTTCTTAAATGGGAAGCGCCTCTAGAAAATCTGATTCACCAATGAAAGATGCTTTTTGAATAGTTTTGGCTGCAGAGAAATGGAAAATGGGATTATCGGTCCAGCAATGCTGAACAACAGAGTACTTTAGTGTTTCCTTTTTCCTAACATATGCCTCGTGCTCTTTAACACGAAATTTAAAGCGTAGATTTTTGTTGTTTGACTTCTATATTAATATTTGTTTGCCGTATTATTTTAATCTAAGCTATTTTTTGTTTCTACTTTTTCAGATATTTCGTCATACCATTCGTTCCCGGTTGTCGTGCGCCTATTGACTCCCAGATACAAATGAAAGCTATCCTATTCGAAGTCATAGACCACCACGAGAAGACCCTGGATGAAAATCACACCCGGAACATAATCGATGCTTTTCTGAAAGACCGAAACGAACGAAGGAGGAAGGGCGATCATACTGCTGAATATTTTACAAGTATTGTGATATTTTGTGGTTTAAGTTTAACTAAGTTAGCGTTCTATTGATTTCTTTTTATGCTCTTTCTCCGATAACGATACCTTCTGAAAGAAAAAACTAATGTAAATTTTACGGCAAACTTTAAAACTAAAATGTAATCTTAACTGGAGCAAATGCTCAGAAATACTGCTGTCGGGCAGCAGAAATATTCGATGAGTAGGAATTTAGAACTACCGAAACAAAGAATGTATACGGAAATATTACGTGGGATGTTTTTTAAGTAATGTCCGTTGGCCCGTACAACAGGAGACTGATGCTTTTGTTTCTGTTAATTCTGCCTGGAAAACATTGGTGTTGTTCTAAAGGTGCCACTGCTATGTAGTTGGATTTTCTGCAAGTACCTCAATCAGATCCGCTGCTCCATATTGTTATCAAATTTTTAACAATCTGTATATGCTACTGGGTATCGTCTGAGGATTCTGCTTGGCTAGATGTCAAATTTTGTTTCATTTGCAGAGAATGCTGGATGATTTTGGCGGGGAAATAAATTTTGTTGGAATTGATCTGGAATGACCAATTGCTTACTCAGTTCTATACTTTGTCTTAGTTATAGAACTTTGATACTTGCTGTCTGCCATAATGTGGAGCGGAATTAGAATTTGTCATTTAGAGCTCCATTGTCTTTGAATAAAAAGAGGAAATTTATCTTCATTCGCTCGACAACCCAGGGTGGGCCAACTCTACTATTGGCAATTGCCTTCAGGTTTGTTGACCTTTAGAAGGTTTAGTCATTTTCACCACAATCTATCCATCTCACTGGGGGTTTACCCCGAGGCCTGGTTCGCATGAGTTTTGCTAGAAAGACTTTCTGCCAACATCGATCTTCAAGCTCTGGCCTGATGACCAGCCCATTTAAGTCTTTGTAGTTTGAAGAATTTTGTACATCAGGTTGTCTGTAGATCTTGTATATCTCCAAATGAGATCTTCTACACAAGGCCATTCATTCACTTGGACCGCAGCAAGTATGCAACGCAAAATCCTTCTCTATAAAATTCCCAAAGCTTCTTCATCCACCCAAGCTAACAATAGGATATTACGTTTTTCTAAATTCTAAAATGCAGGATGTCAATTTCTTATCTGCATTCGCATATCACTTCCAAGTTTCATCGTGATATCTTTTATTGTATTTCTTTTCTATATATATTTTTGGAAATGTATATTGCTTTCCTAATAGCTCTGTAAATTTCATGAATATGAATTTATCAAAAATTGCATTTTAAAAGAGTAGAGATATGTGATTATCAACAGAAGATTTTCAAGCAGTACTCTTATGTCTAATAAAAAATGCTATAGCCTGTCTATACCTCGGTGGTCAATATGAGACGGAGAACGTAGTTGGTTCCTTTTACTACCACTTCTTTTTGGCACATATTGGATAGCTTGGGAGATCTTGAAAACTGAGGGATTGCTTAGTTTATTAAGGCAGAGCTTACACTATAACTACCCTTGGGATCCTTATGGGTTCCATCAATTCAAAACGCACATATAGGTTTTGTCACATCTTTGCATATTAGCTGGACTTAAGCACCTCTTTCAGTATGCTTTTCTAAATATCAAAATAATGTTATTTTGATGACATATGTACCATATAAAAAGTTCCTCTTCTTCTTCTTCAATGGCCAGACAGCCCAGAATGAGCCCTTGCGTTCCTCAGAATCGAATTCCAAGCTCTTCTATCCTTGGCCATGGACATCCAATTGGTTATTTTTAAAATTCTTAAGTCTGTTTCCAAGCAGTCCAGCCACCTAAGTTTGGGTCTACCTCTTTTCCGGGTGCCGAATGGTCTGGCCAAGAAGATCTTTTTAGTTACTCGATTTTCATCCATTCTGCACAGGTGTCCTGCCCATTTAATTCTCTGAATCCTTATATATTTCCCTATATATATTTCTTTAAAGGATTTATAGAGTTCAGAGTTAGTTCTTCTTCTCCAGATTTTGTTACATTTTATGCCACCAAAAATACTTCTCAAAATTTTTCTTTCAAAGACAAAAATAATACTGTTATATAAAAAGTAGTGAAAGTATAAAACGTTTAACCGTAAATCTTTCCAAGCCTTTTTTGTTGCTATAAATTAGTGCATTGAATCTGAAATTAAATGCCGTAAATAAATCTAGATTCGTAATATGCATATTAATTTACTATTTTTATCTTGCAAAACCATTTGGCTATTTTGAAGAAGGGGCCGTTAAAAATGTGCCGCGACTCGAACCCTGCCCCCCCCCCGAATACGCTCCGCGTGGACTACCGTTACACCATGAAGGCATGCTGAAAGGAGGGAGAAAATATTTTATATACCCCTCTTAAAGGGCGAGTGGGAATTAGGGGAACCAGTCGCCAAGTCCTGGTGGTGACGAGTTATCTTTAACCACATTTTAGTTTGGTCACCATTGTGGATTCATTAGGTTCTTTTTAAGGAGATGTGAAAAATGTTCAATGCCCATTTCGGGACTCGAACCCTGGATCCACAAGTACGCGCCGAGTGTGTAACCGTTACACCACGAAAGTATGCTGAAAGGAGGAAAAAAAGGGGTTTATAACCTAAGGTAAATTTCCTTTACAGTTTCCCGAGCTTTCTTTGCCTCACGTTTTGTTACTTCCTTGTAATAAGTAAAAAGGAAGTATTGTAATCGCGAAAAGTTTCAGGCAGTACATTTCAACATATTGACCGTTATCGAATGCAATTTAACGATGTTTCTGCCTGACATCTGTACGTAAGGACAGAATAAAAGACTTTTTCCCTCCCCAAAAAAATTATAAAACTGCTTTAAAATGAATTCTGAAGAGGATTTTTCGTGGTGTCTGTACGTACGCATATATCTCCCATAACTCAAAAACGAGAAGCCTCAGAACATTGCAATTTTGTATACAGGACTGCTAAAGAATGCATTTATTCTCTTGTGGTTTATGCGCTATCGACGAAGTCGATTTAATTCAATAAAATAAGTTTAAATGAAATGCAAGAAAAAATGCGTGTAATTTAATATTCCGTACAAGGAAGTCATGCGGTGTACACATCAGATTTTTTTTATTTCAAAATTGTATCTCCAACAGTAATATCTGTTTATATTGTTTGTTTGCTTTCCTTCAACAGAAGAAGCTTTGGCTGGCTCACTTGCTCAGTTTTTCGGAGATGGTCACCAAGCTATTGTAATCTTTGTTGCAAAATTATTTCTTGCATTGGTACAACATCCAGAAGAACAAGAAAAGATATACAAGGAATTGGTAGACGTCGTTGGCACGGACAGGAATCCAACCTTAGAGGACAAAAGCAAGTTACCTTATGCGAACGCCTTCATGTATGAGCTTTCAAGAACATCGAATTTATTGCCTTTTCTCCCCAGTCTTGTGTGTACAAGTAAGTAAAGGAAAATTTACATTTAAAAAGTATCAAGTCTGTATTTGACTGTACATGGAACTGTATAATGTAGGTTGTACTTTATATGATTAGAGCATGTGGTGGAATCTTCTCAATATGGTAACTTGGCGCTTTTTTGGCGAAATTTTGGCGACCAACCCTGCTACAGCAACCTGCTATTTTTTTTTTTTGACGCCATTTTGTTTTCTCGAAGTAGCGGCATTTTTTTTTTTTTTTTTAACTCAACACTTTTTCCAACAATCTGGTAGCCGAATTATGCTTATGCTAAAACTTATGGAACAAAAGTGATTAATCATGACGAAGATTAGGTGCGAAATTGAGAGAAAGTGCAGAATCGCCCACTGCTTCGCGCGTTCTTAAGAATTGCACATACGCGGTGTCCATGTACACGTCGATATATTTTCACTTAAGGGGTTCATACACCTTAAACCCCTTATGAGCTTCGAATTATGTGACTGTTGCAAGAATTGAGATATTTTATTTATTTTAAAAGTAATAACATCCAGGCTTTTACAGCTGACTAGATAATATAGCTGCTTTGGAAACTAGTAACCAGAAAGTTTGTGTTGCCACAAATATTTTTGTAATTTAATCAGCTCTGTGACAAAATTTTTCGTCATTTTTCCACATTGTGCGCATGATATTTTAAAAATGACTAATGGTACATACTTGAAATTGGATGTAATTCTTTATATGGGCACTATTTTCTAACTGAAAAATATGAATATTTTAATATTAAAAAATTTTATGTACGAAAATATTACGTATATTTTTAAGAAAATACATTTTATAAACTCAACTCCAAATAAAATAAAAATTTAACATGAAATTCTCAGTTTTTTTTTTTTTTTTTTTTTTTTTTTTGTTACAGTAGTTTACAAATGTTATAAAAGCTATATATAAACTATGGAATTAAATAATGCAACAGATAATTTTAAACTGTGCGCGCAAGATGGAACCATGACGAAAATTGTTGTCCCAAAGCGGATTAAATTATAACAATATTTTTGGCAACACAAACTTTCTGATTACGATTTCAGAGAGCAGCTATATTATGTAGTGAGCCATAAAAAGTTGGAAGTAATTGCTTTTAAAATAAATAAGTTATCTCAATTCTTGCAACAGTCACATATTCGAAGATCATAAGGGGTTTAAGGTGTATGAGCCCCCTTAAAAAAATATCCCAGAAATGCACAAAAATAGCCTTGCACACACTCTTGACTTTATCCATGTACACATCGACCTATTTTCTCTTAAAAAGTTAAAGAAAATTGAGAAAAATCCAATTCTTCTTACTCTTGTAAAAAGCGCCAAATAAATAAGTGGGCGATTCTGCACTTTAGCAGCGAAATTGTTTCTAAGTGCTTATTAGCTAAAATCACGATCGGAATTTTCCGGAAAATGTCACGTGACATGTCTCATGATCTCTCATTTCGCTGAGACAAAAAAAAATCTGATTCGAACTATGTACTTATCAGATTATTGCTAAAGTCCTAGCTAGTAACCTCAATCGCCTTACCAAAATATCGCCAAACTACCTGTTACCATATTCCAAAGATTAGCCGAGCATGTACTGGATTATAAACAACAAGGAAATAAGAAAGATAAAAAGAATCTAGAAACAGTTATAGAGACATTACGTTAATTTGAAGCCGGGGACGTGCAAAATGAGTAATGCCCTCTCTGGAACTCGAACCTCTGACCTCTCCAATACGCACCGAGTGTGTTAACCGTTACACCACGAAGGCGTGCTAAGAAGGCGGGAGAAATACCTTATACAGTTACTATGTACCAGAATTTCTAAATTCAAGCATTACGCTAGATATTATGTTTTTTTTTTTTTTTTTTTTTTTCTGTATTCCACCTCAACAAAATGAATACAATTCTCTTTCTTCTCTTCACCTTTTGAACGGTAGCGACAAATTAGTAATCGAATTTTCAAGCTAGGTAACTCATAAATTGTTAGTGGGGTAAGCTTAAGAATATGGATGCCTTTATGGAGAACGAGGAAATTCATGTTACGCATGGGGATAACCCTGAAAGCACACACGCACTCAAACCCCTCATCAGGATCTGAACCCGGATTAAACTACCAGTGTTCAGAAGTATAACCGCTTGGTTGCCGTGTTTCAGAGAAAAGGAATGGAGCAATAATTCTGAAGACGGCTATTCTAAAAGTGCCATTTAAAGTGAGCTGTTTTTTCAAGGAAAAACACATTTTTTGAATTATGAGATGATATAGGATACGGTTGTGGCTGATCAACAAATCTTTCTTGGTAGGTACTGTTTTAGTTACGACACCGTTTTTGATTCCGAATGCAAAATTCCGATTTTTATTCACAGTCATTAACTATAATTTTTGTATGTTTATTACTTTCGAAATTGCCATGAGAAAGATATTTTCTGGATTTTAATGCCAAAATGCCTCTGGTATTTTAGACCTGGATTTATCTAGTTTTAATATATTGCCTTAATTTTTTGGATATACTTCAAGATGCACGTGTATATACTTTATTGAAGACGTCGAGAAACATTTTCTAAACAGTACATATACGGCCTTGCTGGTCAAAGGGTTTCAAAAATGCATTAATTTTAATTGTAAATTCATACATCGCCTATCTGTGCCTCTACTTAGAGGAAACAACTTTAAGGGGCTGTATTTTTTTGGGGGGAGCAGGAGACGTTAAAAATTGTGCAATGCTCTCGCAGGGACGCATATTTCAGAAGTGCACATCTGTATAGCTACAGAGGGAGTGGCTTCTAGGATGGACCAATGAGCATCCAGTGATATTTCTGTCATCTCACATGACCTTTCGCGTGCTTTATGATTTAAGTAAGATGGTTGAAAATATTCTGCCACGCAATTTTGTATAGAAAATAATTAAAGTATCGTCGGTTGCTTCTGAAAATTTTCATTGCGAAGTTAGATGAAATATAGGCAATTATGAAGATTTCCCTACCTAGTTGAAATAAATACAAACACATGCTGGATACTTCGCAAAAATATCGATGTGAAATATTACTTAATAAATGGTAAATAAGATAAAGAAAGAAATATGTGATAAACATTAAATGCAATCTTTACATAAAACTATGCGTATGAGAAAAATATTTACACCAATTATATATGTAAATAGAAGTCAGCACTTTTTATTGCAGTCTATATGAAAAAGATGTTCTATAATAATAAACAATGCAGAATTTTATTCAAAGTGAAATTTACTAATTTGCATTCGTATACATTTAGTGAGTTAGTGGGTAAATTTCACATTTAATAACTGCTCACTCTTAAGTGCACTGTCTACACAAGAATTACTCATCACGCAGAGTAAATTTATCTTATTCACAACGAGTATATTCAATTTATTCACATATATCTTTTAAGTTTAACAATGGATATAATCAGATCATATGTATTCTGAATCTTACACTTTAAAAATAAAAAAATGCAAGCACTGAAATAACAAAACGCTAGATTCATTGTAACACTTACAGTCATTCTCATTTCAACTAAAAAAATACACACTTGAATTCTCTTAATTTTATTTAATTCTCTTAATTCCTGGATTTATGTACTTTTAATATATTGGCTTAATTTTTTGGATATATTTCAAGATGCACGTATATATACTTTTTTGTAGACGTCGAGAAAAATTTTCTAGACGTATACATCTATGTCTTTATTTAGAGGAAACAAGTTTAAGGGGCTGTATTTTTTGGGGGGGGAAAGAAGGAGACGTGAAAAAATGTGCAGTGCCCTCACCGGGACACGATCCTTGGCTTCTCGAATACGCGTCGTCTATGCTTTCAATTACACCACAAAGGACGGAGAAAGTAGCTATACTTTTGGCATTGTATGTATAGCTATCGTCTATTACGTAAGTATTTTTACCATGTATTTATCTGTTATCCCGTTGAGCCTACATTTTTTTTTTTTTGTTTTTTGTTTCTGTTATGTTTTGGCTTATTTTGTTACTTGAAGGCTATCTGGTTAAGGGAAAAGATGCCTTCTTAGAGGACTTCCTAAGTAAAACTGGTTTGTACACATATTACACATGGGGAAAACCACCAAAACACCCATGCAAGCAGCCTGTTTGCGAGATTCGAGCCTCGAACCGAACTACCAATGTTCAGGGACTTGCCGCTCTGCCACTAGTGGACCGGTTTCTGTAGTGAAAATAAAACCAATATTTACGCATCGGATATTGTATTCTGGTGAAACAATAAGGCATTTTCCCATTTCTGTTATTTGTGTGGTCGCCGTGCAGGGCTAGGTTTCCTTCAAGCGCATTTCCATTGCCCCCCCCCGTTTTGATTCTCAGTCGTTAAGTATAGACTGTATGTTAATTTAAACAGGAAAGTATTTGGGTTGTTAATAACTGCTTTTAGAATATTTAAATTTCTAATCTGAAAATGTTTTTAAATTTGTCAATTTTAAATGAAAAGTTTCTAAATCCCAGATTTTATTTATTTATTTATTTCAGAGGAAACAACTTTAAGAGGTTATAGGATTCCCAAAGGATCCATGACTTTGCTCAATTTCTGGTCAGCTCACCATGATCCAGAAACCTTCGAAGATCCATTTAAGTTCAATCCATCAAGATACTTAACCTCTTCGGGAAAGCCTAAAGCAGAACTTCCAGTTACCTTTGGAATAGGTAAGTGCGATAATATGTTTAACAAAAGCTTTTGTCCTATTTTAATGGTAGATTTTATTACCTTTTAATTACAGCCGTGTAAGAAGATTAAGAGGGCTTCTGTTGATAAAGACGAGAAGCCCCTTGAGCGGGGAATCATGAAGTCATCAGGAAAGATGGCAAAAGGTCATTGAACAGAATGGAATGTATTTGACTGATTACAGTTCATTTTGTATAGAAAACATTAATTATATTTAACACTAAAAAACCAAAAATACTTTCTTGCCAATCCGATATATCTCTTTTAATTATAATATTAGTAATTCCTCTTTCCTGTGTTATACATTTCCATTGGATTAACTGTGGAGGTCATCTCCAATATTAAACTTGTAAATTACTGTATTTCATCGTGTTTGATGAATGAAATTGTTTTATTTGATCAAGAAAAATTATGAAAATTAAATATGAGTTTCAGTGAAAACCCTCTGTAATATCTGGAAATTTATGTCACAAAATCCTTAGTATAACTTAGCGTGGAGTCGGTTACAGCAAATTATGGATTCAGTATAACCTATAATTTTTAGTTTATACATGCAATTTATTATAATTAATATTTAGTCGCTCTGAATATCAGTTACAACAAATCTGTTTGTTTTAGTTATCTTTATTTACTTTTTCAGGTAGACGTGCGTGTATAGGAGAATCATACAGTATGACTCTGGTTTTACTTTATATGTTAACTGTAGTCAAAAACTTTCGCTTATCGTTCCCTAAAGAGGAAGAGTATTCTATTCCTGGATTGTATACAATGAAGTTGAAAATAATCGCAACTCCGAGATAATAAAAGAACTCCCACTTCCAGCGAAACATCAATTTTACTTTATTGCAGAAAATCCTTCGCTTGTATACGCTAATAAAATTCTGCTTTTCATGATTATTTCATTGAAAGATTGTATTTCTTTGAATTTGATTTCTAACCTTCACTTTTGTATACTAACTAGAATGTCCATTTTGTAGCACATATCATATTCATAGTTTTACCATCATAAGTCCGCATTTCCATAATTTCAGTTAAACGAATAATTTCAGTTTTGTAAGGTATTTTTTCTCTCCTTTGCACATGCCTCCTTTGCAAAGCCCTGTGGACGCGTATTCGGGAGAACCGGAATTCGAATTCCGGCGAGGGCACTGCACAATTTTCACGTTCGGGCATCAATATAACATAATAATTCTCGGTTTTCGTGGAAATAATACAATATTTCATTCATGGATGTGTAACTTCTGTTCCATTTCTACCCCGATCTATTCATCGACGTTTCTTTTCATAGCTCAAATTAGTTGTGTGATGAACTGAAATGCAGTGGACTTGAAGAAGCAAATGAAGAATTAATTCTACCTTCTTTCCCAGATGCAATACTTTGCTTTAACATATTCAAGTATTTTCTTTGATTTCTACAATACTAGTGAGAAAAACCTTTGAAGATTGTAATTCAGTTGATTAAGAATATTGTTACGAATCTTACAGCCGAGGATAGCTTCCCCGCAAAGCAGGTTTAGGGTTGCCATAAAATGGCAAGGGAAGGCAGGGTTGCCACATTTGGCGACAAAATTGGCGATATGAAATCGACGGATGGAGAACCTTCCGGAACGATTTCTTACTGGTTTAGCCCAGAATGTTCTCGAACGCAAGCCAAAAGCTATATAAATCCTGCTGGTACGCTGAGAGTTAGTGAGAGTCCATCGAGTTGATAGACAATCAGTGAGTGCCGAGTCGGTCGTCGAGTGTACCGAAAGAGTCTCTTAATGTATCGCGGTTAGTGCATCGTCCAATAGAGTGTGTTGAGCTCCGGGAACAACTGAATCGAGGAGTCGGGTCTAGTGTATCGTCGAGTGCATCGCGAGTTGTAGAGTGGAGAGTACGTGAAGTTCCGGAAACGACCGATCAGAGTCGGAAGCTGTACTCTTGTGATTTACAGTGAAGCTGTCTTCACCATTATAGCCTGATAACTTGGAGGCTGTGTCGCTGATTGCGTCAGGGCATTTATTGTAGTTCTTCAACGACTGTGTAAACGCGTTATTGGAGCTGTCCTGAGTAATATTGGCTAAATAAAGTCTGTTTCGCTGCTTCATCGAGTGCTGTTGTCATTATTCACTCCAAATCCACACGAACTCGTAACATTGAAACGAGTCGTTTCTTTCCTTTAGTACAGATAACGAACGTACTAAAGGAAAGAAAATAACGTAACAATATAATTTGTACCTGGATTAAGTTGAGAATGAAATGCCATATCAGAAGACTTTTCTATATTTCTTTCTTTAAAAAAATAAATTTGAAGCTTGTAGAGAACTTTAAATAATACGGACCAGAAAATATGAAAAGTCATTTGTAGCCTCACCAGGGTTCTAACCACCAAGAATCTTTCGATGCTAACTAGACCTGTTAACAACTTACACCATGAAAATCCGAAAAGGAAAATGCGGTACTTCCTTTTGTTTTTCTCACTCAGACGGTGATTAAGGACAGGCAGGAGAGTATAGTCAACGAAATCAATGCTAGCTATCGTCTACTACATTTTAGTTCGGGCGCCACCATAGAGATCACTAATACAAACCTGTAAGACCATTTTAGGCGCCAATGTACAAACTTTTCAGGCTACGTAGCATAAAAAAATTAGCTCTGCCTTTCACGAAATTCATTCCACTGATTTTCCCCAACTAGTTGTATAGCCCCTATAGGTGCAGTGTTAGTGATATTGATTGCCGTACCAATGAATCCGGATTCGAATCCCGCAGAATCCCTGGATAAAGACTCTGATATCCAGTACCTTCCCTATCCACCGGATAGCCCGGATCGTAATTTCATAGAAAATGCGTGGGATATGGTGGAAAAATGCATCCGATAGCACTTTTATCTTCCCTGTAATTTACTGCCGCCTAATCGGTTACAAACTGGGCGCATCTCCCAACCCCCCTAGCCGATTAAAAATCGGCCGTATAGCCAAAAAGGGGCAAGCCCTTCCAACACAAAAACGAGGCAGCCAGTGAGCCAGCCGTGCTCAATTAATTGCAGAGAGCTGGCGAAATGCAGCCGCACAGTGGTTTAAATTGATATTTAAAATTTTCATATTTAAAATACAAAGTAAAATCAACACTTTTAAAACAAATATTTACACATAAAATCAACAACTTACACTTTCTTCAAAAACACTCAGTAGATAAAATCAAAAATGTATAATTTCAAAATGAATTTGCTAAAATCAGCTTTCAAAATTAATAAATTTCTTTATTGTACCACTTACCAGGGGTGAGGGCGATTACCTTCTTCTGTATCTAGAATCCTAATTTCAAAATACTTACTTCTTGTAAACAAACAGAAAAAGACTCAATATAAACTACAAAAAATAAAATATAACGTATAAATACATTCCCCGCTGGCAACTTAAAATAATTAGAAAAATATTACACATCCAAATGTTCTTTTAAAAATTTCATTTCTTCCTGAAACACAAAGCAATCTTTAGAAAAGGCATCGTGAGAAACATCAAACTTAGTCTTAAATTTTTCATTGTACCTTTTGCAATTAATGCAACACATTCCTTCTCCCTTACATGATGCCTTATCGTGTTCCCTCGCGCAAACACTACATGCGATAGGGTAATAGCAATCTTTTCTTGTATGAGCAAAGGCGAGACAGTTAATAATACAACGGTTTGGTTTAAGAAATCATTTAGCTGTGTAGGACTTCCAGTCTATACGTATATGTTGTTCTTCTAAAAAAGAGTGCTGACAGTCACTAGAAATAAGACGCGATGTGAGACTTCTTGCTCTGAAGCTTTTATTCTGAAAATCGGTCGTACACACTCTAAATCACAAGAACATTCACATTTCAATGCATTAATAAATCTTTCGTCTGGTACTGAATCAGAAACATTATATATTATTAACTTCGGTTAAATAAATTTACGTCTTTTTGGTAAAACGAGACGGTTTAATTTTTGCTTATTCATGACCTCTCTCTCCACTACCTTGCGCCCACCAGCGGCCGAGCGGTAAAGACGCTGAACACTGGTAGTTCGGTCCGAGGTTCGAATACCGCGAACGAGCTGGCTGCGTGGGCGTTTTCGTGTTTTTCTCCCATGTGTAACGTGTATACGAGACAGTTTCCATAGACAGTCCTACACAAAGGCATCCCTCCCTTTAGGCAGATAGCCCTTGTGTGCTTTGCCCTTTGCCATAATTGAATAATCCTAATCCTAATCCACTACCTTGCATTCCTCTTTATTTTTTAAGTGTACCATCATATCTACGTTCTTCCTACAGTCTGATCTAATAATTCCTATTCTTATCACTCTTGGATTTAATTTATCTCTGATCTCATCATAAACATCTACACCTTCCTTCGTTGGTTATAAAATAATCTCATTATTCTTATCAACTTCTGGTTTTTTCATCTCTTTCCTTTTATTTCTTCTACTTTTAACTTCAATCCATCCATCCGTATCATTATTCTGATCCCATTTAATTTTTTCTTGTATATCAGAAATACTATTCAACACACGCTCTAATTTCTCTTCCAATTCATTTAGTCTTGTACCATTAATTTGTTTTAAATATCTATTAGAAACCCACTCAGAAATAAAAATAATACCATTACTTAGCGATTCTGCTAGTATTTTTGAAACACTTCTCGCTCAGTATTTTAACAACTTTACTCATTTATTTTAAAACAGACGCAATATTATTTTACTATCATCTTGGATGATTCCTGATAGATTATCAGTATTATTTGTCTTTGATTGCGACATTTGTCGGCTAGGGGACCCTAACATATGACTAATTTATATTTAAATATACAATATTCCAAAGAAAAATTTCTCAAAATTCTTATAATTCAATAAAATACAATTTAATGTATTAAAACCGCACTTATAATGCTTAAAATAATTTTTAAAAAAGAAAAGACAACTCTGGCAGGAAAATTGAAGGGCTTTGCTAACGGGCCGGAAGACTTCCAATATGGTACACCAAAACTGATCAGACCATTTGTCCCCCCGTGCAGAAAGTCTTTATATACCGGTGCACCATATGACTTGAACCACATTTCCTACAACGCCTTCAACAGTCAACAAACGGCATCCATTAGGCTTAGTAATGCACCGAGTAATTTAAACAGTCAAAATCGCAATAAATGCAATATATACTGTAAAAATAGCTATAAATTCATAAACCGGAACAACAAATGCATTTAATATATACAAATAAAAGCAATACGATAACTTTAAACCATTTAAATAGCCAAAAACTTACATTTGCCACGCAAAGAAGCTTGACTCGACGTAGAAATCTTGTTAATCTTTTTTTCTTCAAACATAAGTCATGCAATTCCGAAAAAGGCACAAATATCTAAATCGGAACGCTTGTAGAAATCGAAAATCACATTTACACGAAGATAAAATCAGATTTCACCAAAAAATAAGCATTTTTACACGGATCGAATTCACCAACCACCAACATGGGCGCTGTCATGCGCAGAACTATTTTATTGTTTGAAATTAGGCAAAAAAAAGCATCCTAAGATTGACCTAGACTTAAATGAAAATTTTATCCTTTACGAGGACAGCAAATACTTGTTCTTCATATGAAAAAAAAATGCAAAGAATATAACTTGATACAAATTAGTTATTTCCAAGACTACCGTTAACAATGCTTTCTTGGGTATCGAAAGCAATCCCACAAGTAAATATCGTATAGATCGATTCCGTTTAGTAAGAAGAAGGCACTGATGAAAAACAGAAAGACGTTTTCTTTGCAAAACATCAAATGCAGCAGACGGCAAAAAAAGTAAGTATGGACGAAGAAATACTGGCTAAGACATCAGCTTAACCGTAGCTAACAGTTCTGACCACTAGAACAGCA